TGTTCCCTACAATCTTTTGAACCTTGCTTCACGACTGCCCAGAAGCTGTCATTTCTTCCTCACACGATCTCCTCTATGTTACCCTCAGTTGGCACACCCAACTGGTCGTTTCCCATCTGAGTTCCACTCAAATGCCTGACGTGCGATATCCCTGAATGGTCTTCTCAGTGTATGCCCTATCTATCTCCATTTCTTTCTGCATATTTGTTGGATGATAGGTTCTTGGTTGCTTCGTTGCCAGCCAGCCAGCCAGCCAGAGTTCCTTGTTGCTTATTCTTTCTGGCCTTCTGATCTGATCTTCAATATCGAGTGAGCGTAGGTGGCAGCTGTTGATGACGTATGTCTGTAGTTTGTTGGGAGTGCCTCTAGTGACACGCCAAATTTCTGAACCGTATGGAAACACTGAGTTACTTGACTGCATTGGTGTTGAAGATCCGGATGTTGATCACGCTTTATGCTGAGTGCAGTGCAGTAGGTCTCCACACTGATTATTTCAGATTAATGCTGGAAGGCCTGTCTTGCTGTCTTTCCGATCATGGCTTTGAAATGCTCATCTGTGCCGCCGTGTGTAGTTGAAACGATGTTGCCTATGTAGGTAGGTAGGTAGGTTTCTCCCGTTTATCGTGATTGGTGCTTGTTGTTGTTGGTGGTTAAGTATCTTCATCACCCACGTTCACTTGAAGCAAGTCGTATCTTTGCTACCTCGCTTCTTCTACCATTTTGTTAGTTTTCACCTGTAGATCTTCGAGTTTGTGTGACAAGACATGAGATACAGATCATCATAGACGAAATGCAAATCTTCTAAGGCGTTTTCATCGGTCCAGCCAGCGTATACTCTCTTCTCGCTCTTCACAGGGTGGTCCTATTAATCCTCTTTTTTATTCTAAGAAACAGTTTGTCATCTAGATGGATTTTTTTCCATCTCTTTTATGCATATATGTGTATAATATAGTGAATCGCACTTATTGAAATAATTTTCGTTACTTTCAAATAGACTTTTATATCTTCACGTTGACGGTCACGAGTTCGATTCTTAGTGGGAACTACATCGCCACTGGTAGGCAGGTATATATGACTCCCGAATCTCAAATAGAACGAAACACACGTCAAGCTGGATTCTCCTGCTTGCCATTATCCATTATTGACATAATGCTATCATATCTTTTATACTCGAGTAAATTGTTCAAGGTTAATATAGAACTAATTTTTTGACTGCTAGTACGTATTTGGACAACGCTCTTCAAATAATATGATCATATATATCATATGCGAGATTATGAGGAGACGAAGTATGAGAATATGTAAAGAGGTGGAAACTGAAGCTGAAAATAATGATGACAGTCAGTAGAAGAAAGATAATAGCTCATTAGGCTTGAGTTCCAGGCTGTACTCACCATGGGAGGTTTAATGTGATACCAAATTCTCTTTAAACTTTTCTGCTGGTTTTGGTGTCGACAGATGTAAACGTCCATCTCCAATGTGTTTTGTAAATATACCTAAAGGTTGGAGAAATGTATATTCTGTTCCCTATTTCAGAGACGGTTGGTGTTTATTACCGGGCACACTCCCCCCCCCAATTTATTTAGGGTTGGAGAAAGAAATTGGAAATAAAAAATGATTGGCTGATTCCTTTGTCATAGAAGTCAATGTGTTTGTTTGGCGAAGATACTTTCCTATTGGACTAGGACACTTACTTGTAGGAATTTGATTAGTTGAGCTTAGATAAGCCATCTGTATTTAGACTGGCTTATAAAATCATCATCACTTGTCATATAAATTCTGTTTTAAGAAATCAGTCGCCTTCAGGTTATGATTACATTCAAAATTTGTAGAGAATTTAATACTTTAGTGACAATGTTGTGTAATAATTCAGGGAGCCTGTTTCGAAATGTATTGAGTGTAATTGTTGTCATGATAATAATTGTAATTTGCTGTTGTTATACAGGGCTGAATTGTTCGACGTGTTCTGTTGGTATATGGGCTCGTATGTGGATACCTTGATAGTACTGCTGATTCATGATGTAACGTTGATGTCGGTGACTAGGAGAGGACTCCAGGACTGGTGTTTTGTTCTATTTTGTACTCAGCTTAGTGAATAAGGCTCTGCCTGTTTAAGGTATGGGTAGTGAGTTCGATCCATGGTGGGAACCATATCACTGACTGCGGTCCTGTTACATTCAGATGACGAGTCCCGAGTAGGACGAAACATGCGTCGCCGAGATCATTGAGTGTAATTTATAACTGTAACTGAGGTTTGCAGAGAAATCTAATTCTTAAGTGTATTAGTCGAAAGTTTGCACATAATGTTAAGTTCTTATTTTTGGTATTAATCGGAACAAAATTACTGCCCATGGATTACACCAGCAGTTGGAATATTTTCTTAATAATTTACTGAAATGAAAGCTTACCATTGTTTTTAAAGTTTTCATTTGAACTGTACTTATAATCTATTATTCCATCCGGTAATACACAATCTTTTCATCGATATATTTAAATCTTTATAGTAATATGTTAAGGATGGATCGTGGCTAGCAGTGTAATCCAGGATGCGCATTTCGTCCTATTTGGGACTCACTAGTCAGCTGGATGTACCTGCTTCCCAGTGCGGAGTGATGTTGTTCCCACCGGGATTCGGACGGTATCGTATAAAAACCCTTATACTAAAAGCTATACCCGTCGCACAAGAAGTAGCTATCGTAGCTCCTGTGGTGTAGTAGATAACGAGCTGACGTTTGAAGCGATCGCTCTCGAGTCCGAATCCTGGTGGGAACAACATAACTCCGCACTGGGAAGCAGGTACATTCAGCTGACTAGTGAGTCCCAAATAGGATGAAGTGTGCATCCTGGATTCCATTGCTAGCCACGATCCATCATTAACACAATTAGGACGCTAGCAATATCGAGGCATCCGCACAGGAGTCCTTGTGTCAATTCGGTTCAATCGACGACGATATCATATAAAAACGCTTATACTTTATAGAAATACACTAGTAGCTGTAATTTTAAGGATACTTATGGTGAGAAACTGATTACTGTGCCTTGGTAGTTCTAATCAACATTATGGTGGTCTTCGAAAACAAATACTAACTGAATAATCATGTTCATATAGGCAAATGTTACAATGTATCTCGATGTTTGCCACAAAATTACTACCATGTACCTCTTCACTGAGAATGGATAAACTAATTTATTTCAACTAGGATTAAGAGACAGTACTTATTTAGTTTCCTATACTTTTAAGGAGTGGTAGTATACCAGAATTCCTATTTGTTATCAAATAACACTGGTAAATTGGCTTTTTGTATCTAATAAATGTGTGGATTCAATCGAAACTTGTTGTTGTTTGAAAGTGAAGCATTTCACTCATAGAATATAGATATTAAGAAGTGTAATACAATTTCATTGATCAATTAGAAGCTGATTTATTCATTCATTCAGTTGAACTAATGACCATTCCATAGTTTAGATTAGAATAGGCTGCTTCTAGTAGTAGCCTTTTTATTTCATCCTATACCTAGAGTTATGATGACTGGGATAAATTTTTCATAGCTGATGATGATAATTCACTGAAGTCGAAGACTGAAGGCTAAATGATGAATGAGATCAATTTTAGCTACTGTTAGCTATAGCTGACCTCACATATACATTTAAATGAATAAATACAATGGGACATGACTTTATCTTCCAACCTGTTCAAAGAGCTTTGATGAAGGTATATATACTTTGACTTTTCAATTATCCGAACCTTAGCCGCATAATAGGTGGTAGTCCTACACTTCTTAACAATCTAGTATTCCTGAAAAGGGTTGCCTCCACATGCAGGATATTCTAAACAGAAGCTGCTTGAGTGTGTGAATTCCATGCGCAGAATATATGAAATGTTGTATGATGACGTCATGCTATCCATGTGCCAGCATGTGGAATGGAGGTCGGTGCATCACTTTGGAAGTAAACCTCCTCTTCGTTTACATCTACATGATTCATCTCCTTAGGGTTAGGGTCACTTAGCGTTCTAAGTGACCAACTCCATAGCCCATCTTTGACGGTCAACATTTGCGTCTAGATTCACCGTCAAGTTATTTCCTGGATGAGAAACTGCTGTTAATAGGTGACTGCAAAATTGTTTCAAATAGAGTTATTGATCTTCCACCACGATCGTATTCACAGCTGCAGCCATCACTTTCATTTCTTCTCCAGAACTACCTTAAAAACTGTGTCCTGCGAGATGTTCTGGACTTACGTCTACCGGAATGGGTGTCCTACCATCTAAAATTTTCTGTACAAACTGGAGGACATTGCAGAATTGCTATTCATTGTTGCAGAATGGTAAACTGCCATCCAAAGCTGATTTCTTGATGGGAGGAGGGATGCAAGCACGAACGCCCAACAAGAACATTTCAGGGATATGCTACGAATTATATAACCCCAAAAAAAACAGAATTAACATTATTGTCAGTACACCACCTATTGACCGGCGTTCACTAGCCTTAAAAGCAAACAGCGTACTGCGTGTACATCTGTTTCTCATACTCCTTTAGGGCGACCTTCAAAGACTCTAAGGACAGAAACGCGGCGAGACAAAAACGCTATATAAAAATCGATTCGTTTTCTGTTACAACACTTTCGATGGTATCATCGCTCATCATGAAAACGAAGCTACATGTCCTCAGTTTGCTTCATTTTATAATACCTTTAGATTTCATGTAACCAATAACATGGGATATTTCATTATCTATGACATAGGGAGTGAGGGGGAAGGGGTAGAAAATAACAGTTAAAAAAAATTATAATGGACCAAAATGCGTTGTCTCAGAGATATGTTTCGCAATTGAAAAACTCGAACATCTCCTATCATTTTGACTATATGTTCAGCTTTTCTTATTCAACCTCTTTTCATATCTCTTTATAATCTTTCATAGAAATATCTGTTCACTGTATATGCATATGATTGAATTGTTTCGAAATGTGTATCTTGTTTTTTGATTTTGCTCTTTTCTTAGGATGTAAAACAGTGTTTAACACGGTTGCGTTATTGTCTAGTACCTACAATTAGTCATTTGATCGATGCCTTGATAACTATACGAATGTATATTGATAGAAGTCAACATGATCGGAATAATCCATCATCTTCTCCTATCAATCAGTTTTTTAATAATTGTAAACTTGTGATTATAGACAGTTTAACAATGCCATATCTGATATATATGGCTACTTTATCACAGTTAGGTAAGTTGTATGTGTATGATGCCATACTCAATTCTCAGATAATCTTACTGACAGTTCATCGGTAACATTTTCAGCGTTATCAAACTGGATAATATTCTGAAAAGAATTAGGGTTTCTCATATACTAGGATAATCAATTTGCAAGTTCTCTGGTCCACACTAACATTTCCCACAGCTGAATAGTTTTTCGACTGCTAACCAATTGTACTGTTTTCAGAGTATCCGTTGAAAACTAACCGTTAACCAAGATTAAAAGGTAGGATATTTGACACAAAAATGTCATGAACTAGCAAACTATACTACCAAATACATTGAATAGTTAGTGAATCGCTCAGAAGGTTGTTTCACTCCTACCGTTGAATGCGAATCAGCTAGCCACATTCAGGTGAACTAAATTTGTCCAGATATACCACCGACCAGATGGTTCGGCTGCAAACAATCGAAACGGCTGTCCAATGTTTAAATCACTCTGATCTGACTGGCTGCCAGAAATCTGTAGATCAAGTTGAATGATTTACAATTACTCAAGTTGTACTGTAGTATATTTTGTTTGAGCTTTTAATATTTATGACTAGAGATTGAGATACCTCTTGGTGTTTGATTAACTCAGTCAGTGGTTAGCATCAGCATGGTACTCGGGATTGCTGCGTGACAGTCCAAGTTGCCACAGCTCATGTTCGCAGAAAGCACCAAAATAACAGATAGCGAATTAGGAAAGAAAGTGGTCAAAGTGGTAAGAAGTAGTGAAAAAACAACAAGATTAAATGGAACAATCAGAAAATTCAATATAAATCTAATCTTAAAGAACTGGATAGTTGCTTCGTCCTACTGTGGGACTCAGCAGTACACACCCACGAACCTGACAGGGATCGAACCCAGGACCTTCAGGTCTCGTGACAAACACGTTTGCCATTCAGACAGTGAATTCAAGATGGATATCGTGAAGTTCTGACCAGAAGCCAGTTGGAAGGGAAGTGAATGCCAACTGAAGACGTCAGTGGATTGTCGCTCTGTGTTGCGAATAAAGATTAGTAGGAAGCTTTAAACCATCGAATTCCAACCCAGTAGCTGAATAGTTAGTACGTAATCTACGAGACCTGAAGGTTCTGAGCGTATTTCTTGGAAAGGAGGGAGATAGCTGTTAGTGTGTACTGCTGGGAAGCCCCATACCAGGGCGAAACAGCTGTCCAGTGCTCCCAGATTTCCCATGGTTCTGCAACTCATATCAGTTCGAGGTAATAGTCTTGTGAAACACTAATAGAATTGCAGTGGTATTCATGCCTACAAACTCACTCAAAGACAAACTTTGTCGGCTTAAGCAAGGACCCTATTGACCCAGTTAGACAAAGTAGTTTGATTCATTAAATACCATGTATTGATTAAGGGGTCGAATGAGCCAATCAGGGTCAATCAGATTAACGGGACATAGAAAATTAAGTGGCTTTGAAATGACAAACGGGAATAAGATAAGTGATTTAAAAATTTTGGCTCTTACAAGGATGGAGTGATACTCAGTCACATAATAAACGTGGCGAAGCAACCACGCTCATTATTCATTGTAGCCAACAGCGTCAACCAAGTCGTGGCGTTGAATAATGGGAGTTGAAATAGGAAAATATGGATGGTTTGATTCGAACACGATGAGAGACCGGTAACAAGTTTGCTCTACAACGTGATGAGCGTAAGCCCTATCTTTTTCAGACTCGCACTGGCGTCTGGTGAAGTCCATGTCCGTCGCTTTGTGATTATCCTTGTGTTTCTATACACTGCCTTCAATCACCAAACCATTGAATGCGCAGAAATCTGCAAGTAGTTCTCCATTCTCGTTCATTTCACCTAGTTCATCTCGGCCCATGGTTAGTTCTCTTCCTGTGTTGTCCGCTCATAGTTTGGCATTCATGTCACCCCACATATTAGAATTTTGATGTCGCCAACTGGGCTGGAATCTTGTCTAGTACTGATTGCAGTTTTCTGTAGAATTCGTCCTTCTTCTCTTCATCTGCGTTATTCGTAGGTGCACGGCGTAGCGTAACATTGAATGATTGTAACTTTCCTTCCTTCTGATTTGAATCTTGCTGTCATGATCCTGGAGGAGACTGGTTCCTACTGCATGAGAGCCTTTGATGCTCTTGGGGATATCATGATTGCCACTCCCTGAGTGTGCTCATGGTTGTCGTGTGTGTGAGAATACCGGAGTAGATTATTGACTATCCAGTTACGAGTTTGTGTAGTTGACTTCCATTCCATCTACTTTCGCAGATTCCTATCACATCTGTACTTTACCTTCTGGTTTGTTTTGAAATGTGGGCATTCTTGGTAGTTTCATACATGGTGTGGACATTCCATGTCCCCATGTTTACTTTCGCTTTCATGGAGAGAAGAGGAGACACATCGGCGAATTGGCTTCGCGAAGGCTTTCATCAACCGGCGTTATTTCGTCTGTTGGATTCCAGCGAGGAATAAGTTTGTTTTTATTTTTTATATTTTGTGTGTGCTTTGAGGTTTCTTTGGTGGTTGGATTGGTTTTGTGGGGTAGGGTTGCTAGGCGTATGCCCAGTCCAAGCTTCCCTGTTTATCCGGGCTTAGGACCGGCTAGTAACTAGTGAACTGGTTAACCAGGCGAGTTCTCATATTTCCTATTTACATGTAACCTAAATGTATCCTTCCTCTCTCAGATTGTGTATTTTTACAATTGATTTGACTGAGAATCAGCCTTCTGGAATTTTGAAACTTCTGTCACTTAGCACATCAGTGAATGATTTTTTGACTACATTTCACCTTTAATTGTGTAAACACTGTGTTTATGACATTCCTATTTTATTAACAATAATGGAAGCATTACTAACTAGTTGGTAGGTACACTCAACTGACGAGTCGCAAATTTGACGAAACTCGCAGTGTGAGTTCCTCTGCTAGCTATGTATCCATCATTATTATTGATTTTTCACCTTATTGGTTAAGCACAGGTTGAAAACTTTCTACCACTCAGCTCTAATCAGCGAATGAACTAACAATATACAATAAAGACGGCTAAATTCAGTAGACAACTTAGTGGTAACGAGTTCCTGTTACTGTTTTTCTTTTCTCAAGTTATCTCTTTAACAAGGTTTCAGTGAACACTCCAAAGTTAAAGAAAAAAAATCACTGATAGAAGCAGTCATCAGAGAAATAAAGTTACTCCACTCCTGACTTTTTTTAAAAATCTCTTATCTTTGACTTCTCTAAGCAGAGAATAATATTGAAGCCCAACAAGCAATCTGATATGATGTTAGTTGTTTGTATCTTCCGGATTTACTAAGTCTGATCGCCATAAATAGTAATAATAATAATACTACAAAATATTCAATGTTGTGTAGAACTGTGGCTTACTTTCGCTCAACCAATCAAATTCAAACCTGTGAGCTGAAGGTTCGAATTCTTCTTCAGATACTAGATGGTTTGGTAATATCATTAGCCGTTATAAAACAATGCATGTAACTCATAAGCGAATATGAATGCGTTTGATTTAATGGTTGTACAGTTCATGTTGACATTGTTCGTAAAGAAGTATCATCTTAACTATCTGACAACATATAATGACGGAATTCCCGCTACAGATTGTGATATCTTACACAAAAGTCCTATGAGTTAACGAATTATATGTATACTTAGACTGGTATACCTGATAGGTTTCACTATAATTAGTTGTCTGAACACCTGATTGCCATTTTATGCATGCGCGATTTTTGTTAGTAGCTTTAAACTACTCAAAATAACTCAGTAGTATATTTTGTTACTTGCTAATTTTCAATAGAAACATAGGTTATCCAAGATACTTATAAATCATTTGCAAATCGCCTATGTTGATACTAAATTCGACTAAATTCAGCTGCGTATACTGCTGATAAGCTTGGTTGCGGATGAGCAGACTTATTATTATTATTATTAGTCCCTTGGGTTCCTAGTGGAACATAGGGCTTCAGTAGCACGCCTCCAGTGACCTCTGTTCTCCGAGATCTTTTGAACCTGGTCCCACGACAGCCCACAAGCTCTCATTTCCTCCTCGCATGACCTCCTCCATGTCACCCTCAACTGGGACGTCCAACTCGTCGCTTCCCATGGGGATTCCACTTGAGCGACTGGCCTGACGCGTGATGTCCTCAGTCGGCCTTCTCAGTGCATGGCCAATCCATCTCCACTTCTTCCTGCATATTTGTTGGGTGATAGGTTCTTGGTTGGTTCGTTCCCAGAGTTCCTTGTTGCTTATTATTTCTGGCCATCTGATCTTCAGTAACGAGCCAGTGTAGGCAGTGGTTGTTGATGAATATCTGTAGTTTGTTGGAAATGCCTTTCGTGACGCGCCAAGTCTCTGAGCCATACAGAAGCACTGACTTGACGTTGGTGTTGAAAATCCGTATCTTGTTCCGCATGCTGAGTGCAGAAGATCTCCACACTGGTTTCAGGCTAATGAACGCCTGTCTTGCTTTTCCGATTCTGACTTTGACGTCCTCATCCGTCCCGCCTGTAGTTGAAACAGTGCTTCCTAGATAAGTGAAGGAGGTTACTTCCTTCAAGTTTCTCCCGTTGACGGTGATTGGAGTTTGTTGTTGTTGTTGATGGTGGTGGTGCGGTATCTTCATCACTTCTGTCTTCTCTATATTCACCTGAAGTCCCGTCTTCGCTGCCTCTTCTATCAACTTGTTAGTTTTTGCCTGCAGATCTTCAAGTTTGTGTGACATTAGGCACAAGTCATCGTTGGCGAAATCCAAGTCTTCTAGGTTCTTTTCCGCAGTCCAGTGTATCCCCCTCTTCTCGCTGCCTACTGTTTGCTGCATGATCCAGTCCACCACAATAAGGAATAGCATGGGGGATAGTAGGCAACCTTGTTTCACTCCTGTCTTCACTTCAAAAGCATCACTGAGCTTCCCATTGTGAATTACTTGGCATGTGGCATCTTCATATAGTTGTTGAATGAGGCGGATAAAGGTTTGCGGTACTCCGTAGTATTGAAGCAGTTTCCAAATTACTTCTCGGTCGACGCTGTCAGAGGCCTTCTCAAAGTCGATGAAGTTGAGGTAGAGAGCTGATTGCCATTCTATGCTCTGTTCTATGATGATGCAAAGCGTTGCAATTTGGTCTGCACATGATTTGTACTTCCTGAAGCCTGCCTGTTCCGGTCGCAGTTTTGGATCCAGTGCGTCTTTAAGCCTCTCTAGGATGATGCGGCTTAATATTTTACTTGGGGTGGACCGGAGAGTGATTCCGCGCCAGTTCTTGCAAGCACTGAGGTCTCCTTTCTTCGGCAGTTTGACAAGGTAACCCTTCTTCCAATCGTCAGGTACCTTCCCTTCCTTCCACACCTTCTGCAATAGTGGTGTGAGCATATCCGCTGTTGTCTCTGCATCTGTTCTCAGTGCTTCTGGCGGTATTCCATCTGGTCCTGCTGCTTTCCCACATTTCAGTAGCTTTATGGCGTTCAGGACTTCCATTTTCGTTGGGGGATTTATGTTCACTTGTAATTCAGCGGCTGCAGGTGGTATTTCTGGACGAAGTGCAGGTGGTGGTCGATTCAAGAGCTTCTTGAAGTGGTCGGCCCATCGTTTCCTCTGTTTCTCTTCTTTTGCAATTAAATTTCCTTCTTCATCTTTCATTGGTTTCATCTGTGTTGGTCTATTCCCTGATAGCAACCTGGTTATTTGATACAATGTCGTCAGGTCTCTCTTACCTGCAGCCTGTTCTGCTTCACTTGCCAGTGTTTCGTAGAAGTATCTTTTGTCTATCCGTGCACTCTTCTTCACTTCTTTGTCCAGTGTTTTATACATTGTGCTCAGTTCCTCTTGTCGTTGAGCATCCTTGCACTGGTTTATCTTCTGCTTCACCATCCTCCTCTCCTCTATCAGCTTCCAGGTATCCGTCGAGATCCATTCCTTGTCTTCTTTCTTCTTCCTTCCTAATACTGTTGTGCAGGTTTCTTTCCACATAGCTTTCAAAGACTTCCAGTGTTCTTCCACACAGGTTTCTTCAGGGATGTTGCTCGATGTCTCCCATTTTGTCTTGATGGCTGCCTTGAAGATCTCCTTTGTAGTTTCATCCTTCAGTTTCCGAGTGTTGTACTTGAATTGAGGTCTATCACCAGCTTCCTTGAAGGCTTTTAACTTGATTTGGAAGGTTCCTTGCACTAGATGGTGAGTGGTCTGAACCTACATCTGCTCCTCTTCTTGACCTTGTGTTAAGTAGACTGCGTCTCCATTTTCTTGAGATTGAGATAAAGTCGATTTGATTTTTAGTGTGTCCTGGTGTCTGGTGAAGTCCATGTCGCTTTGTGGATATCCTTGTGCCTGAACACACTGCCTCCAATCACCAAATCGTTGAATGCACAGAATTCTGCAAACAATTCTCCATTCTCATTCATTTCACCTAGCGCCTCTCGACCCATGGTTAGTTCTCTTCCCATTTTGTCCCCTCCCAGTTTGGCATTCATGTCGCCCATCAGAATTTTGATATCGCCAACTGACGTCTTGTCCAGTGTTGATTGAAGTTGTCTGTAGAAATCCTCCTTTTTCTCTTGCTCTGCATTATTTGTAGGTGCATAACATTGTATGATTGTGACCTTTCTTCCTTTTGAGTTGAATCTTGCTGTCATGATCCTGGAGGAGATTGGTTCCCACTGCATGAGAGCCTTCGATGCTCTTGAGGACATCATGATAGCCACTCCATAACTCAGTGTGCTCGTGGTTGGCGTCTGGGTGACCGGAGTAGATTATTGATTCTCCAGTTGACAGTTTGGAGAGTCCACTCCCATTCCATCTGCTTTCGCAAATCCCAAGCACTTCGATGTTATACCTTCTCATCTCCTTTGCAATCTGGGCTGCCTTACTGGGTTCAAACATCGTGCGGACATTCCATGTCCCCACGTTTACTTTCGCTTTCATCGAGGAGAGAAGACACATCGGCCAATTGGCTTCCCGAAGGCTTTCACCAACTGGCGTCATTTCGCCTCTCCGATTCCAGCGGGGAATAAGTTTGTTTTCATTTTTTATATTTTGTTTGTGCTTTGAAGTTTGTTTAGCGGTTAGATTTGTTTTACGGGGTAGGGTTGCTAGCCCTATGCCCAACCTTCCCTCTTTACCTGGGCTTAGGACCGGCTAGTAACTAGTAAACTAGTTAACCAGGCGAGGTTGGATGAGCAGACTAGTTTTGTAGTAATTTGGTTAGTTGTAGCCAGCAGAGGAATCCAAGACGTGCGTTTCGTTCTACTTGGGATTCGTCAGGTGCACCTCAGTAGTGAGTGATGTTATTCCCACTGAGACTTAAATCTCATACTCATCGCTTCAAACACCAAGGCTCTATCCACTGTGCCACGGAGGGATGATAGCCATTTCTTGTACAATAGGTAGTAGTTATTACTATTTATTATTATACTTGTGATTCTCTATTGCTTTTGAAGTGGAGACAGGAGTGAAACAAGGTTGCCACCTACTATCACCCATGATATTCCTGATTGTGGTCCATTAGATCATGCAACAAACAGTGGGGAGCTGTGAGAAGAGGGGGATACGGCGGCTGGACCGCGGAAAACAACCTACAAGACTTGGATTTCGCCAACGATGACTTATGTCTCATGTCGCACAAACTTGAACATCTACAGGCGAAAACTAACAAGTTGGCAGAAGAGGCAGGGCAGGACAGGGCAGCGAAGGAAGACGCGACTTCAAGTGAAATAGAGAAGACAGAGGTGATGAAGACACCCAACTAACAACACCAACAACAACAACAACCATCTCTAATCACCATCAACTGGAGAAACTTAAAGGAAGTAACCTCCTTCACCTACACCTATCTAGACAGCACTGTTTCAACTACAGGTGGCGGCACAGGCACAGACGAGGACGTCAAAGCCAGACAGCATCAGAAACACTGCAAAACAGGCGTTCATTAGCCTGAGACCAGTGTGGAGATCTTCTGCACTTCACTCAGCATGTCGAACAACATCCGGATTTTCAACACCAACCTAGTCAAGTCAGTGCTCTTGTATGGCTCAAAGATTTGGCGAGTTACGAAAGGCATTTCCAACAAACTACACACATTCATCAACAACTGCCCCCTACCCTCACTCGTTACTTACTGAAGCTCAACTCAGATGGAGAGAAAGAATAAGCAACAAGCAACTGTGGCTAGCTGGCAACGAAGCAAGAAGCTATCGCTGAACAAATATGCAGTGGAAGGAAGTGGAGATGGATTGTATTGGGCATACACTGAGAAGGTCGACTGTGGACATCACGCATTAGGCCAGTCACTCGAGTGGAAGGCAGATGGGAATCGACGAGTTGGACGTCCGAGGGTGACATGGAGGAGGTCGTGCGAGGAGGAAATGAGAGCTTGTGGGCTGTCGTGGGGCGAGGTTCAAAAGATTTCAAAGACGAGAGTTCACTGGAGACGTGTTACTGAAGCTCTATGTTCCACTAGGAACCCGAGAGATCAATAAAATGGTAATAAAATTCTCCATTGGTTCATTGCATCGAGTTGTTCGACCTGTATTGTTTACCAATCAAATTACGATAATTAACACTCAGGCAATATCAAGGCATCCGCATAGGAGCCATATACCAATAGACGTTGAACAATTTGATCCAATGAAAGAACGGAGGATTACAAATACATATGAATAAATAGTAATAATATGCTAGTGTGTCGAAATCACTCTGTTCTCACCAGAGAAATCTACAGATCAATGTGATTAAGTTGTAACCGTCGAAATATACTACTACTGAACATGATTAGTAATATATTCTGTTAGTTCATGATACTTTTGTATCAGGGATCACACATTATGACCTTGACTGTCTGACGAGCGTTTTGGATTCGAAATCCTGTTGGAAAACTACTCAGCTGTGATAAATGCCAAAGTGGAGTATGGAACAGTTTTTAAATCATTTACAGACTGGTCAATGTTAATCATTAAATGTAATATTTTCGAGATAATAATTTATATGATTGACAATGACTTTTAAAGGAAATCCCATTGTAATTCATACATTCATTCCATTGATACACTATTTGTTTTGATTATTTCTCTGATTCAAAGCTCTTTCACATGTCGCCTTAGCAACCATTGAACTTCAACGCCTGTCAACTTTTAATCATTGTGCTATACTAGTTACTAATCATGCAAGATCATCATTTATGAATAGTATAAAAGATCAATCCCATGGACAAGGGTATAATCCCAGTTCAAGATCATCATCGGATTTACCGACTGCAATCGGTTGTCTTGGAGTGAATTGGTCTCTTATACCGCATAAACGTATACTATTTGAACGTGTAGTGAAACCAATCACAGATAATATAACAATCAAAGCTAAACTCATTAAAACTGTTGACAATAAGTCACAGTCAAATTGTTATTATAAGACGAACTATACTACTGAAGTAATTTTTGAAATTCCTGCATAAACTGTACCATAACAAAATAAATTTCCTGACTAAATTGCTTCTTTTAGGTAAATAAAATCTTAAGAGAAAACAAAGAATACAGTAGGTACCAAAAATTCTATATGAAACGTGTCCCTTGGTCACTTAAACACTCTCACACCTATTCTATCCAGTGTTAAGGACAAAACTGCCAATTTACTAGCTCGCACAATGGGCGGATGATACACACTGTCTCTAATCACCAATACATACATATTTCATACACACACACACACAAACAAACACACTGAATCACTCACTGTCATTCAGCATGAACACATGGACATGACACTGTGGTGCATCTATGCCTGTAGTCGGTGTTATTGATAACAATGCATATATATCTCAAGTTGTTATTCATCGTAGACTGACATCAGTTGGAGGAACAAAGGAAACCTGGGAGCACTGGATAGCTGTTTCCTCCAACTGGTATAGGACTCCTCAGCAGTGCGCACCCACGACCCCACACCAGCAGGGATGGAACCCGCGACCTTCAGGTTCCGCGGGCTAGCCACTGGGTCAGAATTCAATGCTCTATATTTCCAACTTCTGTTAGCTCACGATATATAGCATAACCGCCACCCAATGTCATCGCTGAGTATTTGTCCTCATGGCCATCAGGCTTTGACTCCACCATATATAAGTAGTATATGTTGAGAGGTGGGAAGAAGTTGTAGGCAATTACAAGTGATGAGTAAATATTCTGCACAGAGAAATGCAAAATATCAGGTAGACGTATCAACAGGGAAACAAGATAGACGAGTAAATGAAAGATATTTTACGAGAAATGTTTCATGAATTATGTACAAAGTGTCATCACAATAAAACTGCCATTCATTTCTTGAGATTTTGTTTATTATTTTGTTTACTATGGCTCTCTGCTAACATCTCTGACTCCTAGAGTAGGTGATTCGAATTCAAATTCCTGGCGAGACATCACTCTCATCGAGGATGCAGATAAACCTTGCTGAAAAGTGCCGAACGTCCAGAAACCTAGAGTGAACAAGGCTTTCTGCCGACACTGTGATGTTCTGTTAACAGCCTCCCTTCGACTATGTAAAACACTCTGCCAAAGAATTAAGTCAAGTATAAACTATGGATATCACAGTTGCTCTCATCACAGATAGAAAGTAACCAGAGTTACCAACATCGTCACACAGACTGCCTTTTATTATAGCAGTACCGTGAGAATTTCACTTGTTAACATCAAATCCAGAAATGTGTATGCCATTACAAATACTTCTGAGCTCCTTCACTAGGTTAATTTTGAAACATTTTCACTGTAATTATCTTTTTAACTATTCGAGAAAGTTGAGTGTTTATTTATGAAAATGTACACATAACCTATATGTAGCTGTTGACATTCTAAAAGTAAGATGTATCTTCAACCATGAAGGAGTTGATTGTCATTTAGTGACTGGAACTTGCGTAAATCTGCGAGAAATGTCATAGGCTTCACCGTTTCGGCTATTCATGCATGGAACAACTTACTTACTGTAGGATTGAGTTCTTAACACTCATTGATTGGTCATCTGATGCAGTTGAAAAGTTCTGTGCTCTGTGTCTCACCTACGCACTTTGGTCAGCGTTCAGCATATAGGACCTGACGCCTACATCACTTATCATCGATCGAAACATAAATTTTTCCTTTTGATTTCTTTTTCTTTATCCAGTTTAAGTTATCGCAAATGGGTTTGGATATTGTAAATTCCCAATCAATATTACTTTAATACATCTGTTAGGACTAGATACATAAATATCAGTAAGAATCATCGGTGAAACTATACGGTTTTTGCCGGCCTTGAAGAATCTTAAAATTGCCTTAAAATCAGTGACAGTATAGCGGTTGTTTCTTGCTATTTTTTTGCTCAGAATAAGCAGATAGTGAGGGACCATCATATGAAGAACAATATTCTGCATAAGCCTTTCAATATCTTTTGTAGTTTTCTAGGACGACTTCACAATCACCTTCACTGTGATTGGCCACTCTGAGAAAGGTCACTTTGTAGCGGTCCAAGGACGGCTAACGTTTTGCTTTTTAATCGCCAGGACATACAAATATTAAAATCATATCCAATTATTCCCACTTACTCCAATTATAGATATGAATGCTTTACTGTTCACTAAATGGTGGTATAGACAATAAACGATGCTGACTTCTCCCTACTTACTATGGCTCTCTGCTAACATCTTTGACTCCTAGAGTAGGTGATTCAGATTCGAATTCCTGGCGAGACATCACTCTCATCGAGGATGCAGACCAACCTTGCTGAAAAGTGCCAAAAATCCAGAAACCTAGAGTGAACAAGGTTTTCTGCCGACACTGTGATGTTCTGTTAACAACCTCCCTTCGACTATGTAAAACACTCTGCCAAAGAATTAAGTCAAGTATAAACTATGGATATCACAGTTGCTCTCATCACAGATACAAAGTAACCAGAGAAACGCTAAGTTTGAGACTCCACAGTACTTCACTGATGTTGATGCGTGATCCATTCCTCCACAAGCCTCCTTATGGATAATTTGAATATCTTCTCATTTAGAAGTTTATTCAGAAGCTATAATTTCTGAATTTCTCACTGAATTCAGTGACTTATTGATTTTTATAGTCAATTATTCCGTTGTCATGGTTATATAGTTTACTGTATACAATTAAACAAATCCATATGTAAATAAATAACCACCAGACACTGAATAGTGAATAAAGTTGGACACACCCTATCTTAGATGAATATGCAAATTTTTTATCGGTTGTATGATGGAATAAGTGAATTATACAACCTCATGAAAGGATCAATTGTGATTTTTATGCGAAATTCATTTACTTTGTTGTACAATAATATCGAAAAATCTTCAGTTGACCTCCTTACTCAGTTATTATATTATTATTATTATTAGTCCCTTGGGTTCCTAGTGGAACATAGGGCTTCAGAAGCACGTCTCCAGTGAACTCTCTTCTCTGAAATCTTGTGAACATGGTTCCACGACAGCCCACAACCTCTCATTCCCTCCTCGCACCATCTCCTCCATGTCACCCTCAGCTGCGATGCCCAACTCGTCGCTTACCATCTGGGTTCCACTCGAGCGACTCGCCTGACGCGTGATGTCCACAGTCGGCCTTCTCAGTGTATGCCCAATACGATCCATCTCCACTTCCTCCTGCATATTTGTTGGATGATAGATTCTTGGTTGGTTCGTTCCAGAGCTCCTTGTTGCTTATTCTTTCTGGCCATCTGATCTTCAGTAGCGAGCGTAAGCCTAATTGAGGGAATTCACTCCTCAATTATAGTTTGAAATGTAAACCAGTCACCATTTGTCGATTAGTTCGTGTGAACATTCAATTATATTATAAGTCATGGTTAGCAGTGACCATTTAGCGCTGAGATATCAGAAATACCAAAGTCTTACCGCCTAGCTTATTGGTCATACATTATGAAATTAGTCGATTGATTTCAAGCAATCCTCAGTACTAAGGATAAAAGCTTTCTTCTGATTACAACTTATAAATCCTTGCAAGTTCTCCTTGATTGTTAGCATATAGACGACTTGAGAAGTGCATATCTCGATACCACCGCAGTTTCCATTATATTTTCTGCTTGACTGTAGTGAACAGTGGAAACACTGATACGCATTTCATCTTGTTTAGAACTCATAAGCTGCGTCTGCCCTTTATCTCAGTGGATACATGGTACCCCTTCTGAAACTGGAACCTAGTGTATAACGTTATGGCGTTTGAAGTGATGAGAACTGAAATCTTGATGAGGACACTATTGCTCACTGGGATGCAGGTTTGTTTGGTTGATGACTCTAAGATAGGGGAAAGCCAGTAGCATAGACTCCACTATTAGTTGTTAATTTCAGTTGTTTTTAAAATGTCCTATAAACTTTTGATGCTATGACTTGTAAATTTCCGTCTTTGTTTGAACCGAATGAATCGGCTAACATTGTCATTTGAACTCCTGTAAGGATGCCCCAATACTGCTTGTATTTCAGTTTTCCATAGATAATGGCTAGGAGTGGAGTGCACATCGGAAGTTTTGTTCTATTTGGGACTAATCAGCTGGAGTTACCTGCCTCCTAAGGACTGGTGTTGCTCATAACATGATGCTCTGGTGTCCACAATCGACTATTCCTGGCTTCGAGTCCCAGTGGGAATAAAATTCATCGTTGGGAGCCAGATATATTCAGTTGGACTTCATCCATCATTTACATGTTTAATATATACTAGAACTAGGGTTCATCATGTAAGGGGTAATCTTACTTGTGTAATCCCAGTGTAGTATATTAGATGAACAAATAACAATATAAAGAAATATTATTTTGTGCATTATTCCTCATTTTGCATTCTATCTTGCTGGAAAGATCCTTTTTTCAAGTGTCTGAATGTGACATCACGTTCTGGTACAGAAGATAACTCCTTTATGATCATCCAATTACATTGTGATATGGAACGTAGATGAATACAATGTAGGTGAGTGGATTAGCGAATTGCTTGGAGAGACTTTTCCCAGATTGGTAATCATCATGGACTGTGACATCAGTTGAAGGATTACTGGAAACCTGGGAATAGATGACAAGTGTTTCATCCCAGTAGTATGAGACTCCTGAGAAGTGCGAACCCATGACCCCGCCACGCTAGTTATTGAATCCACAATCTCCAGGTTTCGTGGCCAGCACGTTACCATCTTAGTCGTACAAATGGAAAGAGCGTGAATTGATCGAAATAGGAAATATAGATCAGTAAATTCTGATCCAGTGTCCAGCTCAGTGGTAATGTGCTGGCCACGGAACCTGGAGATCGTGGATTCAATACCTAGCATGGCGGGGTCATGGGTTCGCACTTCTCAGGAGTCTCATACTACTGGGATGAAACACTTGTCATCTATTCCCAGGTTTCCAGTAATCCTTCAACTGATGTCACAGTCCATGATGATTACCAATCTGGGAAAAGTCTCTCCAAGCAATTCGCTAATTCACTCACCTACATTGTATTCATCTACGTTCCATATCGCAATGATGATTATCTTCTGTACCAGAACGTGATGTCACATTCATACACTTGAAAAAAGGATCTTTCCAGCAAGATAGAATGCAAAATGAGGAATAATGCACAAAATAATATTTCTTTATATTGTTATTTGTTCATATAAAAAGTCAATAAATCGGGAATAGATGCGCACTGCTAACGGAATAGTTATTCTCGAGTGCAATTAGGTTTCCACTAGCTCTTCAACTGATGAATACTAGGTTGAAAAACAACTGGAAGTTACTTCATTGACAGCAGAAGTTTATGCCGGTAACATGAAGATAACTGTTTGTAATCTATCCAGTCACTCAATGGAGTCTGTAGATTTCAATTTAATGTTTTCGAACTTTTGTACTAAGTCTAGAAGTAATATTCATCATGGACTGACATCAGTTGGGGAACCATTGAAAATCTGGGAGCACTGGACAGCTGTTTCGTCCAACTAGTATGGAACTCCTCAGCAGTAAGCACCCACGACCCGGCTAGGGGTTGAACTCACGGCGAACGCGTTAACCATTCAGCCACTGGATCAATCGGTCTCCAGTGGTTCACAATTTCCAACTTCTTTCAATTCACGACATAGCGCAACTGTCATCCAAGGTCTTCAGTTAGCATCCACTTCACTTCCGACTGGTTGATCCCACAGGTCACGGCTTCTCATTAGAACTTCCTAACATCCATCTGGAAGCAAGTCATTAATGAGCACTATAGAGTATGGTTAACGCGTTCTCCGTGAAACCTGAAGGTCCTCAGTTCGATCCCTAGCCGGGTCGTGGGTGCGTACTGCTGAGGAGTCCCATACTAGTTGGACGAAACAGCTGTCCAGTGCTCCCAGATCTTCAATGGTTCCCCAACTGATGTCAGTCCATGATGAATACTACTTCTAAATTTAAAAAAAATCCCCATTCATCTCAAAAATACATTTTTGTACTAAGTATTAGAAACATTTATCAGTCAATATACTTTTATATAAGACAACTAGATATCAGCTAGTGATTTATGTTGATAAACCGAAAGGATAAATTTACCAGGGAAATCATATAATTTGACGTTAAACATTTAAACAAATACGACACAATTATGAACATTCAATAAGCGTATTAAACCCAAAAGTCAATAGAAAACTTGAAAATTGATATGTGTAATTCGGACAGTTGACATACAAGACAATGTAAATTGTTGTCTGTTTATCAACTGTATTTCAGTGAACCATGTGGGTCAATTCAACTCCTAGCTAATTCAGCCTGAAATAAAATAAAATTGTAAACATTTACTTTCTATATATACTATTCAACGTTATAACTGCAAATAAGCATGAAATATTGAAATTATTTGAGAACGTATAATGAAAGCTCAACTTAACAGACCACTAGTTTCTTGATTACCTTCCAAGTGATATACACAACCCTATAGATAATACAGATATAATTCAATATGGAGCCTCTTGGGGAACTGATTAGTTTTAAAATGGATTGCATTACAAATTGAAGACGCCATATGTCAAGTAATTGACAATGGGAAGCTCAGTGATACCTTCGAAGTGAAGTGAAAATAGCAGTGAAACAAGGCTGCTACCCACCATCACCCATGATCTCCCTAATTGTGTTGTGGTCGAGAAGAGGGGGATACGGTGGCTGGACCGCGGAAAACAACCTACAAGACTTGGATTTCGCCAACGATGACTTGTGTCTCATGTCGCACAAACTTGAACATCTACAGGCGAAAACTAACAAGTTGACAGAAGAGGCAGGGCAGGACAGGGCAGCGAAGGAAGATGCGACTTCAAGTGAATATAGAGAAGACAGAGGTGATGAAGATACCCAACCAACAACAACAACAAACTCCAATCACCATCAACTGGAGAAAATTAAAGGAAGTAGCCTCCTTCACCTACACCTATCTAGGCAGCACTGTTTCAACTACAGGTGGCGGCACAGGCACAGACGAGGACGTCAAAGCCAGACAGCCAGCCAGCCAGAATCGGAAACACTGCAAGACAGGCGTTCATTAGCCTGAGACCAGTGTGGAGATCTTCTGCACTTCACTCAGCATGTCGAACAACATCCGGATTTTCAACACCAACCTAGTCAAGTCAGTGCTCTCGTATGGTTGAGAAACTTGTCGCATTACGAAAGGCATTTCCAACAAACTACACACATTCATCAACAACTGCCCCCTACGCTCAATCGTTACTTACTGAAGCTCAACTCAGATGGCCAGAAATAATAAGCAACAAGCAACTCTGGCTGGCTGGCTAGCTGGCAACGAACCAACGAAGCAAGAAGCTATCGCTGAACAAATATGCAGTGGAAGGAAGTGGAGGTGGATTGGATTGGGCATACACTGAGAAGGCCGACTGGGGATATCACGCGTCAGGCCAGTCGCTCGAGTGGAACCCAGATGGGAAGCGACGAGTTGGGGTAACATGGAGGAGATCATGAGAGGAGGAAATGAGAGGTTGTGGCCTGTCATGGAGCGAGGTTCAAAAGATTTCAGAGTAGAGAGTTCACCGGAGACGTGTTACTGAAGCCCTATGTTCCATTAAGAACCCAAGGGACAAATAATAGTAATAATTACAAATTGACTCACAGGTCATAGTTGGATTCCATTTTGTCAAATATGCTGATGACCTGACCATTTCTATGTGTCTCCTCTTCAACAGATTGTTCTCAACTGACTGATTTCCTATCTACTGTTAGACAATGGTCTTCCATGAATGGTCTTATGCTGAATTCTTCAAAATATTAGACTATGGCATTTTTGTTTCTAATGTGAACATAACCTATGTAAACTACATAAATCTCATGACTCCGGTTCTAATTGCTACAAGTATGATTTATCTGTGTTTTTCTTAGGACCTTTCCCTGGTCTTCCAAAAGAAATTTCCGCCTAACTTTCGATATTAGGAAGCTGAGAGTATCTGGTATAATTCAGCCTTTTCTCTTATGTTTGATAAACTCCAACATCTTTCTTGTTCTCCTCTATTGTTTCCCTTTTTTTTTGTCTTCTGGATTGTTTAAATAGACTATGCTGTATTGTGTAGAACTTTGAAGATTGTCAGCAGAATTGATGGTGCACTTCTCAACCTTCTGCAATAACACAGTTATGGACAAATATCTTAATTCATGTTAGGAGTTATTTTATCCGATAACCGACATCGTCTTCCTTCAAACCTCTCTCTATGTGTTATGGTCTTCAGGAAAGACTAGGAGTAAGTATATAAGTAGTTTATGCACATACTACTTAATATGGAGAGTCAACCATACCTTTTCTTATTCTGCTGGTCTACTGTACGATGAAGAAAGTGTTAGATATGAACTACGACTAATCAACTTTTATTTATTTCCTATGTATTACGAATCTAATTGTTGCTAATGGGACTGATTACCTAGATTGCCTCTGTATTTTCATTATATTATGTACACATATACACTGTTTCTGTCCAACTGATGCTATATGATGGTATGCTGAAAATTAGAGTTTTTCAATAATTCCTCAACTGATGCCAATGCATATGGAAATTACAGGCACAAAATGAAACATTAAAACATGTACACCTTTGATCAATGCATAGGTGTCTAAAACAGTTGTTACAATAAGCTGGATAACATAATATAGTAGGAGATTGAGGCAAAAATTACAATACTGATTCTCCAAGTACCAATAGGCTTTTGATTACTGACACCTACCAACTTTGACGAATCTCATGTTCTCCTATTAATTTGAATTTCTGTGATTTACTCAGCGCTGAGGCTAAATACTTCACCAATAAGCTCTTCTAATCCCTGTTAGGTCTGTATCTAAGTGCCAACCAATTCACGTAAATACTTTCAGTCTTACAATGAGACATTTTTGACGTGATTCACTTAGTATTAAAGTGTTGAACCTCACTGCTAAGTTAATTATATCCAAATGTCTTAGAAAGATAGTGAATCGCCTGAAAGGTGTAGGATGTAAACCATTGATGAGTACTAAGAATTACGAAATCTATTTCAAGTACAGCCTCTTAATGACTCATCTTTATCAGTCAATTTTATTTATGTAGTGTGTTTATCTTGGTGACCACTATTAACTCGAGTTGCTTCACATTCGGATGCGTTTCTATTTATCCCAGTAGACATCAGCAGCATACACTAGTGAACTTCACCGATTTCTAACTTGGTATGTAAATTGGGCACTTAAAAGATATTTTCGCTTGATCCATTTGAAAGGATCAGTCTCCGGCTGTAGTCTCAATGGGAACAATACCATTGAGCGGGATGAAGGTGCATACAACTAACCAGTCTGAAATACAATGAAACACGTATCTTAGATTTCATTGCTAGCCATCAAGTCGACAAGAACTGAATATTTTCATGTCTGATTATCTGACAAATTTCATCAACTAATTCATTAGCATCATCAATCATAAGTGATCAGCTGATTTTCTATATAAGTAGCAAAGAAAAATTATCACAAAAACAATTCAATACACTCCATATTAGATTTGTTTATTTGATATAAAGCGCACAGTGATACAGTATTATTTACTTGATTGTTGATGAAATCATGTTAGGAGTGCAGTTATGCTTAACCTAGACAGTCTTCAAGTTTCAGGGAAAGATATATAGACAAACAGAAGGAGTAGCAATGGGATCACCAATATCCCCTACAGTAGCAGATATATTTATGGATAGTTGGGAAGATATGGCTTTACGAACATATAATCCGACACCTAAGATATGGTGGCGATATGTGGATGACACATTTACAGTGTTGAAATCGGAACATATCGACAGTTTCTTGACACACATAAACTCAGTAGTTAACGCAATCCAATTCACTTACGAAGTAGAAAATGAACAAGGAGAATTACCTATGTTGGATTGCAGAATAAAACGAAGGATAGATGGTGGTTTAGATACTACCGTCTACAGAAAACCAACACATTCTAACAGATATCTAGACTTCAAGTCATCTCATCCAGTGTCAGTTAAAGCGGGTTTAGTCAAATGTCGAAATAACAGAGCTGAGAAACTCACTAGTCATTGTAAGGACTTAAAAAAGGAATTGAAACCCATCAAAGAAGCGTTAATAATTATCCCCATCATTTTATTAAGAAATTCACGCAAACACATAAGAAGCAAAATAATAACACTAATACAAATACAAATAATAGTGACAACATAAGTAGAAAGGAAATCAACACCTCCATTGTGATACCATACAAGGAAGGACCATCAGAAACCATACGTAGGATTGATTCTCAACAAGGTTGGAATTAGGGTGGCATTTAAACCAACAAACTCACTTAGAGGTAAGCTTTGTCGGCCGGCATAAGGATCCGATAGAACCAATTAAGCAAAATAATATAATCTACCAAATTCCATGTAATGACTATGAGTGGGGTCAAATACATAGGTGAAACTAGCCGGTCGGGGTCAGTTAGATTAACAGAACATAGGAATTTAGCTAAACATAGAACGACAGATCCCAATAAGATCAATAATCTAGAAAAACACTCAGCCATTGCATTACATTCATTAACACACAACCACACAATAGGATGGGACAAAACCACTGTACTTAAGTCTAATATAGTTAGGTGGAGAGAGAGAGAGATTAATTACTGAATCTTTCTTCATCGAATCCACACCCAACACATATGTAATAGGAATGACGCAACACCTATACCAGAGATATGGAAAACTTTACTACCCATCAAAAAACAAAGAGAGATCAGGTGACAGGACTATAAAATCAGATATCGAAACTTGTGTGTGATTACATTGATGTGATGATTATGAGCAATGATCATTTATGCTTGAAACGTAATCAAGTAAATAATACTGTATCACTGTGCCCTATATATATATCAAATAAACAAATCTAATATGGAATTACATTCTACCACAGTGTGCCCAAGTTTTACACTTATATTAATTCAATACACTGTTACCTGATATTGTTTATATGCCATACGTTCTTTTGCACAATAATTCAATGTCATTTGTTCAACTTGTTCAACAACTTTTTGTCTAGCTGTACACATAAAATAAATCATAAACACTAGGGGTATTGTAGTAATGCCCAACAATAGGGGACCAACAATTCGACCTCGATTAACTGTATAAAACTCTATACCGATTATGTAATGTAGGATAGTTAAAAGTACTCCAATCAGGACTAGAAGTACACTGATTACAGCTAGTATGGTAGCCAGAATACAATCACATCTTCCAGGACCATTGATCAGTGGATCAGGTGACCATTTACAACAGTCGATCTGTACACTGTCATCATGAACATCATGACATGAAGTTACATTTCTTGAAGTTGGAATAGAGTATAACTGATTTGGAAAGATAAATTGATTTTTCTCCCCTTGTATGCTGCTTACAGGTACTGACAACTCTTCAGTTTCACTAGGAATAAGTACTTTATTCTTTGATGGAAGGTACTGAGAAGTCTATATTTCAAGGGAATAGGATACTCATCAGTTAGGGACGAAGAAGATTGCACAAGAGTAACAAAATGACATTAAATTATGCAATCCACAAGAACTGATGAAAATACAGTCTTGGGATGGTAGGCAAATGAGTCAATCAATTTCTTGCCAAAATTTCCTCTCTGCATAAAAATGTAATGCTGAAATGGTTCGAAGGATTTGAATCTTAGTACAAAGATGACTATAGTCGTCTGCAAAAAAAAGATCCTTACAGACAATGAGAAGTGGAATATATCAATCAAAATTGATCAGGTTGTTGTTGGGTAAAAATGTGGCTAAATCAAGACTGCTATAGCCTACCTTAGTCAAATAAGAAATCTAAGGAAAAGCTCAACTACCACTGTGTTTCTAATGATATCCGATAAGATGCTTCAGAGTAACAGTTCTTGAATTAGCCTAGTTGGATAGAGGCTGAGATTGTCCCCTGAAAGAATACTAAGCTTATGGAACAAGAATGACTCAGTGGTTGCTATGATACTCGTAACTTCGCGTTACTATACAGGGCTGAAATGCTCGACCTCCGTTGGTAGATCGGCTAGTATGCGAATGCCTTGGTACTGCTGATTATTCATGATGTTATATTGGTCTTGATGACTAGCAGAGGAATCCAATACGCGCGTTTCGTCTTTTTCTATGACTTGTCAGCTGTATGTACCAGCACTCCGGTGAGTAATGTTTGTCCCACGGAGGCTCGAACCCAGTGTCCTCCGCTTCAACTGCAACAACGTTATCCAATAAGCCACTGGTGGAAGATATTCACCTCTTGTACAACGGTTATCAGTTGTTGTTATGACACTTGCAATTTTCCGTTGTTGTACAGGGCAGAATCGATCGACCTCTGTTGACAGATAGGCTCTTATTTCGATATCAATTCAGTGGAATATACTACTGAAGAACACGATTAGTTCAGAACAACTTCCTGTGACCAGTAGATTTCGCCAGTCACATCAAAGTAATTGAAAACACCGAATAGCCACTTCACTCAATTTACGATCAAGCTGATCACCGGTGTTTCCGAACAAATTCAACTGAGTTTTCAACATCAATAACCATGTTGACGTGGCAGTTGGATAGTTAAAAAAAAATACTCACTCGTTAGAAATGTCAACGTGGACATTGCAACTCAATCAATAGATTGAAATACTCATCATCCTATTTAAGAATGACTGAGTAGATGTTTCAAATACCTGCGGAATTCAACTAGCTGAATCAGAAAAGGATGACATCCAACTGGGACAATATAGACCGTGGCTTAAACATATAGTTACCGTGATTTACCTAGTCACTGTAAATGTTGTCTGGAATGTTATGTTTCATGATGGCGTATTATTATTGTTTGTCCCTTGGGTTCCTAATGGAACATAGGGCTTCAGTAACGTCTCCAGTGAACTCTCTACTCTGAAATCTTTTGAACCTCACTCCATGACAGGCCACAACCTCTCATTTCCTCCTCACACCATCTCCTCCATAGCACCCTCGCCAACGACGCCCAACTCGTCGTTTCCCATCTGCCTTCCACTCGAGCAACTCGCCTGGTGCATGATGTCCACAGTCGACCTTCTCAGTGTATGCCCAATACAATCCATCTCCACTTCCTTCCACTGCATATTTGTTCAGCGATAGGTTCTTGCTTCGTTGGTTCGTTGCCAGCTAGCCAGCCAGCCAGAGTTGCTTGTTGCTTATTATTTCTGGCCATCTGAGTTGAGCTTCAGTAAGTAACGAGTGAGGGTAGGGGGCAGTTGTTGATGAATGTCTGGAGTTTGTTGGAAATGCCTTTCGTAACTCGCCAAATCTTTGAGCCATACAAGAGCACTGACTTGACTAGGTTGGTGTTGAAAATCCGGATGTTGTTCACGCTGAGTGCTGAGTGCAGAAGATCTCCACACTGGTTTCAGGCTAATGAACACGTGTCTTGCAGTGTTTCCGATGCTGTCTGGCTTTGACGTCCTCGTCTGTGCCTGTGCCGCCACCTGTAGTTGAAACAGTGCTGCCTAGATAGGTGTAGGTGAAGGAGGCTACTTCCTTTAATTTTCTCCAGTTGATGGTGATTGGAGTTTGTTGTTGTTGTTGGTTGGGTATCTTCATCACCTCTGTCTTCTCTATATTCACTTGAAGTCGCATCTTCCTTCGCTGCCCTGTCCTGCCCTGCCTCTTCTGTCAACTTGTTAGTTTTTGCCTGTACATCTTGAAGTTTGTGCTACATGAGACACAAGTCATCGTTGGCGAAATCCAAGTCTTGTAGGTTGTTTTCGGCGGTCCAGCCACCGTATTCCTCTCTTCTCACAGCTCCTGTTTGTTGTATGATCCAGTGGAGTCGACCACAACACAATTAGGGAGATCATGGGTCATAGTGGGTAGCAGCCTTGTTTCACTCCTGTCTTCATTTCACTTCACTTGGAAGGCATTACTGAGCTTCACATTGTGAATTGAATTACTTGGCATGTGGCTTCTTCATATCATTATTGAATGAGGCTGATAAAGGTTTGCGGTATTCAGTAGTGTTGAAGCAGTTTCCAAATTACTTCTCGGTCGACGCTGTCAAAGGCCTTCTCAAAGTCGATGAAGTTGAGGCAGAGTTGAGTTGACTGCCATTCTATACTTTGTTCTGTGATGATGCGAAGCGTTGCGATTTGGTCCTAATGATGGCGTATATAGATATCTAATTCGTGAGCAACAGGGGAATCCAGCCTACGTATCTCTTCCTACTTAGGACTCACTCATCAGCTGTGTTATTCCTCCATGGGACTCGAACCCAGTACCTATCACTTCAAACGTTGAAGCAATATTTACTAGGCTACTAGGACACGTCCTGGACTCAACTGCAGTCACTAAGTAGATCAGGGCATAATAAGTAATTAGGAATTATCGAGACATCTCCAGAGACAGAAGCCTATCTGCCATTAGAGATCGAGCAATTCAACCCTGCATAGCAACGCAAAATAACAAGTAACAATCAACAACTGTTATGTCATATATGCCTTCCCACTAGGATTACTAAGTACTATCTCAGGTTGTAAACCGGAGAAACTATAATATCTTGGTAACTAAGATTTAATGTTAGCTTCAGTCAACATTTAAGGATAGACCATAAAAGTTCTGTATCACACCCTATTTTTATTATGAAAAACTCTAACAGGTAATCTGCATATCAGTATATACACATATCTAACATAACCACGTGTGACAAACAGTCAGTGACAAACATCTAATGGCATTTAGCTTAAACTTTTCTCAATATCAATTACTAGGCCTCTGAGCTATTGCTCTGCACTAAATTGTCCCACGATCAAATTATACAACATCTTATTGTTAGGAAACTTGAATTTCGGTGTAAATTGTATTCCAGTATCAATCAACCTGTAATTACTTCACTAGTTACTAGCCGGTCCTAAAGAAGATAAGGAATGGATCCCGACAGATACCTGGAAGCTGATAGAGGAGATGAGGATGGTGAAACAGAAGATAAACCAGTGCAAGGATGCTCAACGACAAGAAGAACTGAGCGCAATGTATAAAACACTGAACAAAGAAGTGAAGAAGAGTGAGCGCAAAGACAAAAGACACTTCCACGAAACACTTCCAAGTGAAGCAGAACAGGCTGCAGGTAAGAGAGACCTGACAACATTGTATCAAATAACCAGGTTGCTATCAGGGAAGAGACCAACACAGATGAAACCAATAAAAGATGAAGAAGGAAATTTAATTACAAAAGAAGAGAAACAAAGGCAACGATGGGCCGACCACTTCAAGAAGCTCTTGAATCGACCACCACCTGCACTTCGTCCAGAAATACCACCTGCAGCCGCTGAATTACAAGTGAACATAAATCCCCCAACAAAAATGGAAGTCCAGAACGCCATAAAGCTACTGAAATGTGGGAAAGCAGCAGGACCAGATGGGATATCGCCAGAAGCACTGAGAACAGACGCAGAGACAACAGTGGACATGCTCACACCACGCCACTATTGCAGAAGGTGTGGAAGGAAGAGAAGTTACCTGACCATTGATTGGAAGAAGGGTTACCTTGTCAAACTGCCGGAGAAAGGAGACCTCAGTGTTTGCAAGAACTGGTGCGGAATCACTCTCCTGTCCACCCAGTGCAAGCAAAATATTAAGCCGCATCATCCTGGAGAGACTAAAGGATGCACTGGATTCAAAACTACGACCGGAACAGGCAGGCTGGATTCAGGAAGTACAAATCATGAGCAGACCAAATTGCAACGCTTCACATCATCATAGAACAGAGCATAGAATGGCAATCAGCTCTCTACCTCAACTTCATCAACTTTGAGAAGGCCTTTGACAGCGTCGACCGAGAAGTAATTTGGAAACTGCTTCACTACTACGGAGTACCGCAAACCTTTATCCGCCTCATTCAACAACTAAATGAAGATGCCACATGCCAAGTAATTCACAAGATTGCCTACTATCCCCCATGATATTCTTGATTGTGGTGGACTGGATCATGCAGCAAACAGTGGGCAGCGAGAAGAGGGGGATACGCTGGACTGCGGAAAAGGACCTAGAAGACTTGGATTTCGCCAACGATGACTTGTGCCTGATGTCACATAAACTTGAAGATCTGCAGGCAAAAACTAACAAGTTGACAGAAGAGGCAGCGAGGGAAGACGGGACTTCAATGAATATAGAGAAGACAGAAATGATGAAGATACCGCACCAACAACAACAAACTCCAATCACCATGAACGGGAGAAACTTAAAGGAAGTAACCTCCTTCACCTACACCTATCTAGGAAGCACTGTTTCAACTACAGGCGGCACAGGCTCAGACGAGGATGTCAAAGTCAGAATCGGAAAAGCAAGGCAGGCGTTCATTAGCCTGAAACCAGTGTGGAGATCTTCTGCACTCAGCGTGCGGAACAAGATACGGATTTTCAACACCAACGTCAAGTCAGTGCTTCTGTATGGCTCAGAGACTTGGCGCGTTACCAAAGGCATTTCCAACAAACTCCAGACATTCATGAACAACTGCTTACGTTCGCTACTGAAGATCAGTGGAGATGGCGAGAAAGAATAAGCAACAAGGAGCTCTGGGAACGAACCAACGAAGCAAGAGGCTATCGCTGAACAAATATGCAGTGGAAGGAAGTGTAGATGGATTGGGTATATGCTGAGAAGGATGTTTGGGGACATCGTGCGTCAGGCCAGTTGCTCGAGTGGAATCCCCATGGGAAGTGACGCTTTGGGCATCGCAGCTGAGGGTGAGATGGAGGAGATGGTGTGAGGATGAAATGAGAGGATGTGGGCTATCGTGTAGCCAGGTTGAAAAGATTTGAGAGAAGACAGTGTAATGGAGACGTGCTAGTGAAGCTGTATGTTCCATTAGGAACCCAAGGGACTAATAATAATAATAATAACTTTTACACGTGAATCTTAAATTTTCACTGATTTACCACAGTAATATATAGTCTCAGTTAAACAAAATAAATACCCTTGTACTTACCGCATTCATATGTGAGTAAATAAGACATTTTTCAATTTGTTTGATGAAAATCATTATTGGATACTATAAGAAAATAAGTTTGTAAATGACCAATAAGAAACGAGGTGAATCATCCAATCAATATGCGCAAAAAGTGACCAATCAAAAAGTGATAAATGTATATGTCTCATGATTACTATTGGTAGAGTTATTATCAAGATAGGTACAAAAAAAATACATGACTACATTAAACAGGCTTTTAAGAGCATAGAAATTGTAATGCCTAGTGAAATACTACAATCCACTACGTCTGTCTCCAAGATTCACAGTCTATCACAATTGATAGAACCAGCTGAGAAGCAGATGCGAACAATCAAGTCTTTTGACAATTTCATTTTTTCATTTCATTATCAACATAGGACCAGGCATTACTGAGTAACGGTCCGAGTTGCAACACCTCACGTCAGTTCATCAAGTAAAAAGGTAGTGAGGTGAAGGGTGAAGATAAGAGGATGCATCCAAAAGAAATATAAAGTACGAGAAGAAAGGAAAGAGGAGTGAGATTAGGTATAGCGTTGTTAAGATGAGGATAATGTGTGTATACATCTGCGCCACTGACATCGGTTCTCAGCCATATCACCTAGGGTCTCCAACCACTGGTTCCTCTTGTCCCGCCAACCCCAACCACCTAGTGTGCATCGTCCTACATGGCTTAAACCAACAGTCAACGGCTTCGCGCATTGATGCCATGTTTTAGTCTGGCCACCACGGGCCCTTTTCCAGCCTGGACCCACCTCAGCCAACATTGTGTGACGAGGCAATCGGCGACTATGCATACATAACACGTGTCTCAACCAGCCATCTCAGTCGATGAAGGTTCATAACCTCGTCAACTGACTTACCTCTTCTCCCCAAAACTCTACACCTGACTTCTGCATTATTCACGTGGTGACATGACGGAATACGTCCTATACTACGAAGGCAAAGAAGCTTTTGATCAGCGTGAAATATCCTGTACAGTAACCATCATTAGGTATACAAAATCAGTACAGGTTACAACATAATACCAATAGATATTTTCTCTATGAAAAATGTGGGTATAGCTAGATTTACTTCGTAAAGATTCAGAGAGAAATCGGCTAATTGAGGAATCATTTGACTCTTTTAGGTAATCCAGCATTCCCAAACGTAAGCACTCTATTCGAATAATGACGGAAGTGCAAGGAATATATATATATATATATATATATATATATATATATATATATATATATATATATATATATATATATATATATATATATATACAACTATGAGATTATAAACGAGGGCACAACCATAATAGACACAAGACACTTAGGATTGAATTCAGGAAAAAAAAACAGTTATCATCTCAATGTCAGATACACCTTATGTAAATAGTGCGGGTGAAATGTTAAAAGCATTCCTCCATCATAGTAGTAGCTGCCTGACCTGAAAACATTTCCTCACATTGACAGTAACAAATTCAAAGAGATTAGACACTAAATGTTACTTATACTATGAAGAAATTGTATAAACAGTGATATCTGCACTCCAACACAACTTTCATCCAGGTACACCAGTCTCAGTGGTGTTTAGAGTATGCAAGCAGTCGGCTGTGATCAGTTCTAGACACTTAAAAAAATTCAGACGGACTATATTTCCAAATCATGTGGAGTAGTAACCTCGCCTGGTTAACTAGTTACTAGCCGGTCCTAAGCCCAGGTAAAGAGGGAAGGTTGGGCATAGGGCTAGCAACCCTACCCCGTAAAACAAATCTAACCGCTAAAGAAACTTCAAAGCACAAACAAAATATAAAAAATGAAAACAAACTTATTCCCCGCTGGAATCGGAGAGGCGAAATGACGCCAGTTGGTGAAAGCCTTCGGGAAGCCAATTGGCCGATGTGTCTTCTCTCGATGAAAGCGAAAGTAAACGTGGGGACATGGAATGTCCGTACGATGTTTGAACCCAGTAAGGCAGCCCAGATTGCAAGGGAGATGAGAAGGTATAACATCGAAGTGCTTGGGATTTGCGAAAGCAGATGGAATGGGAGTGGACTCTCCAAACCGTCAACTGGAGAATCAATAATCTACTCCGACACTGTCACCCAGACGCCAACCACGAGCACACTGAGTTATGGAGTGGCTATCATGATGTCCTCAAGAGCATCGAAGGCTCTCATGCAGTGGGAACCAATCTCCTCCAGGATCATGACAGCAAGATTCAACTCAAAAGGAAGAAAGGTCACAATCATACAATGTTATGCACCTACAAATAATGCAGAGCAAGAGAAAAAGGAGGATTTCTACAGACAACTTCAATCAACACTGGACAAGACGTCAGTTGGCGATATCAAAATTCTGATGGGCGACATGAATGCCAAACTGGGCGGGGACAAAACGGGAAGAGAACTAACCATGGGTCGAGAGGCGCTAGGTGAAATGAATGAGAATGGAGAATTGTTTGCAGAATTCTGCGCATTCAACGATTTGGTGATTGGAGGCAGTGTGTTCAGGCACAAAGATATCCACAAAGCGACATGGATTTCAACAGATGGACACACTAAAAATCAAATCGACTTTATCTCAATCTCAAGAAAATGGAGACGCAGTCTACTTAACACAAGGTCAAGAAGAGGAGCAGATGTAGGTTCAGACCACTATCTAGTGCAAGGAACCTTCCAAATCAAGTTAAAAGCCTTCAAGGAAGCTGGTGATAGACCTCAATTCAAGTACAACACTCGGAAACTGAAGGATGAAACTACAAAGGAGATCTTCAAGGCAGCCATCAAGACAAAATGGGAGACATCGAGCAACATCCCTGAAGAAACCTGTGTGGAAGAACACTGGAAGTCTTTGAAAGCTATGTGGAAAGAAACCTGCACAACAGTATTAGGAAGGAAGAAGAAAGAAGACAAGGAATGGATCTCGATGGATACATGGAAGCTGATAGAGGAGAGGAGGATGGTGAAGCAGAAGATAAACCAGTGCAAGGATGCTCAACGACAAGAGGAACTGAGCACAATGTATAAAACACTGAACAAAGAAGTGAAGAAGAGTGCACGGATAGACAAAAGATACTTCTACGAAACACTGGCAAGTGAAGCAGAACAGGCTGCAGGTAAGAGAGACCTGACGACATTGTATCAAATAACCAGGTTGCTATCAGGGAAGAGACCAACACAGATGAAACCAATGAAAGATGAAGAAGGAAATTTAATTACAAAAGAAGAGAAACAGAGGAAACGATGGGCCGACCACTTCAAGAAGCTCTTGAATCGACCACCACCTGCACTTCGTCCAGAAATACCACCTGCAGCCGCTGAATTACAAGTGAACATAAATCCCCCAACGAAAATGGAAGTCCTGAACGCCATAAAGCTACTGAAATGCGGGAAAGCAGCAGGACCAGACGGGATACCGCCAGAAGCACTGAGAACAGATGCAGAGACAACAGCGGACATGCTCACACCGCTGTTGCAGAAGCTGTGGAAGGAAGAGAAGGTAGATGGCCATTGGAAGAAGGGTTACCTTGTCAAACACACGAAGAAGGGAGACCTCAGTGTTTGCAAGAACTGGCGCGGAATCACTCTCCTGTCCACCCAGTGCAAGCAAAATATTAAGCCGCATCATCCTGGAGAGGCTAAAGGATGCACTGCATTCTAAACTGCGACCGGAACAGGCAGGCTTCAGGAAGTACAAATCATGTGCAGACCAAATTGCAACGCTTCGCATCATCATAGAACAGAGCATAGAATGGCAATCAGCTCTCTACCTCAACTTCATCGACTTTGAGAAGGCCTTTGACAGCGTCGACCGAGAAGTAATTTAGAAACTGCTTCAATACTACGGAGTACCGCAAACCTTTATCCGCCTCATTCAACAACTATATGAAGATGCCACATGCCAAGTAATTCACAATGGGAAGCTCAGTGATGCTTTTGAAGTGAAGATAGGAGTGAAACAAGGTTGCCTACTATCCCCCATGATATTCTTGATTGTGGTCGACTGGATCATGCAGCAAACAGTAGGCAGCGAGAAGAGGAGGATACGCTGGACTGCGGAAAAGAACCTAGAAGACTTGGATTTCGCCAACGATGACTTGTGCCTAATGTCATACAAACTTGAAGATCTGCAGGCAAAAACTAACAAGTTGATAGAAGAGGCAGCGAAGACGGGACTTCAGGTGAACATAGAGAAGACAGAAGTGATGAAGATACCGCACCACCACCATCAACAACAACAACAAACTCCAATCACCGTCAACGGGAGAAACTTGAAGGAAGTAACCTCCTTCACTTATCTAGGAAGCACTGTTTTAACTACAGGCGGGACGGACGAGGACGTCAAAGTCAGAATCGGAAATACAGCAAGACAGGCGTTCATTAGCCTGAAACCAGTGTGGAGATCTTCTGCACTCAGCATGCGGAACAAGATACGGATTTTCAACACCAACGTCAAGTCAGTGCTCTTGTATGGTTCAGAGACTTGGCGCGTCACGAAAGGCATTTCAAATAAACTACAGACATTCATCAACAACTGCTTACGCTGTCTCGCTGCTGAAGATCGGATGGCCAGAAATAATAAGCAACAGGGAACTCTGGGAACGAACCAACCAACAACCTATCACGCAGCAAATATGCAGGAAGAAGTGGAGATGGATTGGCCATGCACTGAGAAGGCCGACTGAGGACATCACGCGTCAGGCCAGTCGCTCAAGTGGAATGCCCATGGGAAGCGACGAGTTGGGCGTCCGAGGGTGACATGGAGGAGGTCGTGCGAGGAGGAAATGAGAGCTTGTGGGCTGTCGTGGGACCAGGTTCAAAAGATCTCAGAGAACAGAGGTCACTGGAGGCGTGCTACTGAAGCCCTATGTTCCACTAGGAACCCAAGGGACTAATAATAATAATAATAATAATAATAATAATGTGGAGTAGTGATCACACGATAAATGATCAGCACTCCATTGATGTCATCTGCATTAACAACCATCGTTTCACTATACTACGATTTGGAGCTAACGAAATTCATCTTGCATAAAAGGAGAACTGG